TCTAGTATCTTATTAAGTATATTTTGTGCATATTCAATAGGCAATGTTTTCTTTTTATTGGACTTTACATATAAAATTAGATTGCTAACTATTACTGATTGAACTTTCTTCTGCATTTGATTGATACTATATTTAATACTATTATGTTTTATATCATTTCTACATTTCCACATTGTCCATTTGAATGCAATTAGCGCACTATTAAATAAAATAGAAAAGATACCTTTTTCCAGATAGCCCAGAGCTAATATTTCTGGAGTCAAAAGTTCATTCCTAAAACTTGGGAACTTCACAAATATTTTATTTCTGCATTGAATAAGGACAGATTTTACAACGTTACACGAGAAGAAAAGATGTAAAATATCCTCTAATTCTGTCTTACAAAAATGACATTTTCCGTCTGAATTACTAAATTTACTTATTTTTACTTCAGTATAAATGACGTTGTGTATACATTTCCATTGCAATTCCTTCATCTGTGTTGTCGTAAATGTTAATTCTATGTTATCCCAAACCAGTTCCCAGTCAAATTGTTTTTGAAAAGTTTGTTCCCATTTCAATTTGCAATTCGGTGTCAGATTTTTATTCAGTGTATTCATGATGATTTTAGGTTTTAATTTTCTCATAGTGAGCGGTTTCCCATCTCTTCCAATAATATTTAGGTTACTATCAATAATTGGGTATAAATAATCATTGTTCTCTCTGTTGTTCCCCTTTAACTCATCTAACCATACTATTGGAAAAGCATTTTTTAATCTCGATAACTCAGACATACAATTTCGCTTATCTGTTAACAAAGAGTATATATCACGATCTTTTTTAAAATTCTTGTTTTGTACATCCCATATATCGTTGACTGTACAGATGCCACTTTTCGTAAATGAGGTAAAAAATAAAGGTTTTTCATTAAATTTAATAAAGTAGTTACCGAATAGCGGTTGTTTAAGAATCTCGTTTCTGTTTACATGTCTTAAATTTAATTTCTGATAAGTTGACCATGATTCTAACAGTTTTTTATAAAACAATGGAAAGTTGGATAGGTTCAACGTACGTATGTCCGATAGTTTACAAACAAAAAACTCGATTCTGTATTTGTCATCCAAAGACCTAAGCCAGTGTTTGCCTATCGCGTTCCATGTATCAGTGTCACTTTTTAATATTTTGTACATAGATTTTACCTGTATACTAAAAACAAAATCTTTCACATCTATAATATTCATACCTCCTTCATGATAATGCTTTGATAATATTTTACGATTCACTAAGTCTTTTCTTCCGTTCCAAACAAAATTCCAAATTAACGAATTAATACTTTTAATATACTTTTCAGGTATACCTCGAGCTTCTGTCTCAAAGGCAATTAAGGAAAAGATAAGAGATCTTATAATTAGACTCTTGCCATATAAAGTTAAATGTCTACTTTTCCATACTTGTATACATGCTTTGATTTTCTTTATTTTCTCTTCCCATATCGCATTATTATCTATATTATAACCGTGATGTACACCTAGTGTTTTTACATGTTTTTGTGTCCATGAGATATTGCTGTATACGGGTTCTTTATTCTTCCATCTACCTAAATATATTCCGGTAGTTTTTTCTAAATTAATTCTTGAACCAGACGCTGATTGATATACATTAAGCACTCTGAATGATTCTTCAATTGATTGTTCGTCAGATTCAAGGAGTTGCGTATCGTCTGCAAACATATTTATTGCAGTTTCTGTATTATCAGGTAATTTGATTCCTTTTATATTTGGGTTCGCTCTAATGGCGCATGCCAGTGGTTCCGCCTGAAGAATATACAAAATTGGTGCAGCCGGACAGCCTTGCCTCGCTGACCGCGATATAGGAAAATATTTACTTACAAATCCATTTGTTTTGATACATGTCTTAGCATTTTGTAAAAGCATGTTAATCCAGTTTCGAAATTTGGTTCCAATGTTAAATTTTTCCAGACACATATTCAACCATTCCCATTCAACCCTATCAAATGCTTTACTTTGATCTAAAAAAATTATCGCACCTTCTGTTTGTTTTAATTCCGTATATTCAATTATATCTTGTATAAGTCTGTTTGCGTCTGAAATATTTCGTCCAGGTACAAACCCCTTTTGGTCCGGATGAATAAGATAAGATAAATGTATTTTTAACCTATTTGCAAGAATTTTCGCGATAATTTTGTAGTCCACATTTAACAATGTCAATGGCCTCCAGTTTTGAATCAACTCTCTTTCACCTTTTTTGTAGAGTAAAGTAAGCATACCTTTGGTTTGAGACTCAGATAGTTTATTTTTCAGAAAAATTTCTTTTAAGACCAAAATAAATTCGAGTTTGATAATATACCAATATTTCTGATAAAATTCGGCTATAATTCCATCTTCTCCTGGTGACTTATTGTGTTTTAATTGATCGATACTTTTTACTATTTCCTCCTCTGTGATCTCTTTTTCTAAATCATCTCTTTGTTCATTGGACAATTTGTTTTGTACATGTTCTAAAAGTGATTCTGCAGCCCTTCTATCCATGCCTTCTGTCGAGAATAATTGTTTATAAAACTTTGTTTGCTCGTCTAAAATTCCATTTATGTCTGTTTTGTAATTTCCGTCATCTGATTTAATCCGATGCCAAACTTTTTCTTTTGCTCTAGTTTTCTCTAAGCTAAAAAAATATCTTGAAGAACTCTCATTGTCTTCGAAGTATTTGATTCTAGACCTTACTCTAAAACCATTCGTCTTTTGTTGATAATAATCTTTAATTTCATTTTTTAAAGAATTGACTATCTCTCCTGGAACATTTTCCATTTGATATAATTTTTCAAGCAATAGTTCTTTCGATTTTATTTCACTTTCTCTTTTATTTAATATTTTAGAAACGTGGATAGTGATCTCTTTAATTTTTAATTTTGTTATCTCCCACCAGTCAGTTAGATTATTAAACTTGTGTTTTTCTAATTTCCATACCAACCAGAATGTTTCAAACATATTTTTGAATAAATCTGAACTAATAGTGGAAGCATTCATTTTCCATGTTCCCGGTCCCATTTCGACATTACCTATTTCTATTTCGGAGTGTAATAAATTATGGTCGCTGTATAAACATGGTATTATCCTAGTACCAATTATATCATTGCTTAGGAAGGGACTAACGAAAATGAAATCAATTCGGGATTTGGAATTCCCTCTGCTAAATGTATGTCCCTTTTTTTCCGAATTTCTTATGCGCCATATATCTATCATTTTATGTTTTTCTAATAGCGTCTTAAATTGTCTTGTACCGGGGTCGTCCCCATTCGTACTTGGAATTCTATCATATTTGTTATTCAAAGTACAGTTGAAATCTCCCAAAAGTATGTTATTTGTTTCCGGTATATTATTATCCAAGTATTCAAAAAATATTTTTCTGTTTGCGCACGTATTAGGGGTATACATTATTATGATTATGGATTATGATTATATTGATATGGTATTTTCTTGACCTCTCCAGCAGGGTTCTTGACCTTGATTTCATTTTTGCGTTACGGGTTCGAACAATGCAGTTTATCTCTCTTTATCTCGATGACCTGTGACAATTCCGCATCAATTTTAAATTCACTGGAATTTGCATCGAACGGTTTCAAAACACTTGAATGAGCAAGAATCTTTGCACCAATTATCTCTTCCATGTTCCTGAATACACTATGACAGACGTCTATCCAAACGAATTAACACTTTTCTCTGTTATGTGACTTAAGTGTCTGGCTACTGTTAGACAACTTTAGACGAATCGGCAGAGGTAATTACGTAGCAAAGAAATTATTTCACTTCGGTGACTTCAGCTAAGAGCAGAGAGTGCGTATGCCAAGTAAAGGACACCCCAATTGAAGAATTGACATTTCTCTGTCTTTAGCTTTTAATCACCACTTAATCAGCCGAAATTCAGCTTGTTTAGAATATGGACCAGTTAAACGAGCTAGTTTACATATGGTATTCAAATTTTGCAGAACTGATGTGTAAATCGAATAGCGTCTCGTTAATTTCATCATTTGCTTGATGCAAACGAAGTCCTTGGAAGTCAGAATCATCAATTCCTTCTTGTTCAAACCCCAGAAATAGGATAACGGTTTAGAACCATGCGACTGTTACAAAATGTCTGTTTCATTCCTTAAAGAAACCAAGCCCTAGAATACACCTAAATGACTAAAACTGAACTTGTTGCTGTTTTGGTATCAGGATTCTAATGATACAATTAGTGCCAGAATAAAACAGCATCAGAGAGCTGTTTTGTCGTTATAGAACTTGTCAGTGATGATTATTGCCGAACGTCTTCAAACCCAGAGATAACTGAGGAAAAGCAACGGGTTATCTTCAGGTTACAATATTCACATGATGATAAACTGATTGTCACGTTAAATGGTGACTACTGGACTAATGTTGTAATGTCACATGATGATAAACTGATTGTCACGTTAAATGGTGACTACTGGACTAATGTTGTAATGTCACATGATGATAAACTGATTGTCACGTTAAATGGTGACTACCGGACTAATGTTGTAATGTCACATGATGATAAACTGATTGTCACGTTAAATGGTGACTACTGGACTAATGTTGTAATGTCACATGATGATAAACTGATTGTCACGTTAAATGGTGACTACCGGACTAATGTTGTAATGTCACATGATGATAAACTGATTGTCACGTTAAATGGTGACTACTGGACTAATGTTGTAATGTCACATGATGATAAACTGATTGTCACGTTAAATGGTGACTACTGGACTAATGTTGTAATGTCCATTATGTACCGTATCTCAAATACAGGAAACATATCGGTTACAATAACGGGTAATTATGTAAGTTTGTTATGTATCATAATATATCATTACTGACCACAAATCATAAATTACTAAAGACAGGTAAAATATGAAATAAAAAGGATAATTCATAACGAAATTCTATACTTTATTAAAATATTGTTATGTATCTAACAATTAATTTAAAATAACCGTTTAACACATGAAACAAACAAAAGAAATAAAAACAAAAAATTCCGGGCGTAGTTATAAGATTAGAGTATACATATAATACTCATCCATGGTGGCTTTGAGAAATATTACTGCAATAGAACAAGGAGTTATGATTCAGCAAATTAAAATATAACAAGATGATAGGACAGACATCGTAGCAGACTATATATACCAAGATGGTAGGACAGACATCGTGGCAGACTATATATACCAAGATGGTAGAACAGACATCGTAGAAGACCATGTATACCAAGACGATAGGACAGATATCGAAGCAGACTATATATAACAAGATGGAAGGACAGACATCGTAGCAGAAAACATATACCAAGATGATAGGACAGACATCGTAGCAGACTATATATACCAAGGTGATAGGACAGATATCGTAGCAGACTATATATACCAAGATGATAGGACAGACATCGTAGCAGACTATATATACCAAGATAATAAGACAGACATCGTAGCAGACTGTATATACCAAGATAATAAGACAGACATCGTAGCAGACTATATATACCAAGATAATAAGACAGACATCGTAGCAGACTGTATGACAGACATCGTAGCAAAGTGTATATAACAAGATGGTAGGACAGATATCGTAGCAGAGTGTATATAACAAGATGGTAGGACAGATATCGTAGCAGACCATGTATACCAAGATGATATGACAGATATCGTAGCAGACTATATATACCAAGATGATAGGACAGATATCGTAGCAGACCATGTATACCAAGATGATAGGACAGATATCGTAGCAGACTATATATACCAAAATGATAGGACAGATATCGTAGCAAAATATATATACATGTATTGCTTGTTTTTTTATTACAATAGCTGTGTACTTACCTTTAAAATGATTGTGTGTTATATAAAACTAGATTACAACTTGAAATGAAGTACCAGCTTGTGATCTTTATTACATAAAATATAGATACTTGGCCAGAGTTAGGAGATCCAAGTTAACAGACAACAATTGATTTATTTCTTTAAATTTCTAATAACAGTCAGTGCCTTATCTACTTTAACCCAAGACAACCATGTTTGTAGATTGTGCATTTAAAACGGAGTATTTCAGTGAATAAATAAAGACCAATAAATCATCGTCCACAAACGATCTGAGGAACGAGTAGACCGACATGTACTTCATGACCTAGCCTTACTTAAAGGCTGGACTCTTCGTGTTACTGGAGCACCGATTTACAGAGTGTAGAAAACACAATATGTTTGACTTATACTATTAACCAGTTCATAGCATATATCAATCACCCTTGTAGGCTTGGAGGGAAGCGCACACTGAGTCTTTTTCTAAAATAAACTCGTACACATCAATCCTTTGTACATTTACACAATGCACATTATACCCTTCATTCCACTGCGAGTGAAATCACAATACATCTATCATCTATGAATCTGACCTGGTATTACATGTCAAAAATGTTTGTATTTACCGTGATCTTTTATTTTTCTATAACATACCAAAGCAACATGGCCTACATTGTGTGACAAATCTTACCTTAGTTACATAGAAAAACAGCATATATAAAGCAACTCCATATTTTTTCATGTATTTTCATAAAACAACTCCAAAATTGGTAATATATTTGCTAAAGTTGAATTGAAACATATAAAACCTCATTGTAAAATAACATGAAATTGACCAAATCCTACAATAACGCCGAAATTACATATTAATTAGTAATCGTTGTTAATGACTAAGCTTTGCAAGCAAACATAAAAAGTACGCTAGCACAATTTACTTACACTATGTTACGATATTTACTTCTGTATAAATGCAAAATTAATATAATGTAGCTGAAATTGTTGTTACAATGTTTCCGCTAGGACCGAACCTCTGTCGTATTTAAAACAAGTTCTCTCTGACCGCGCGGTAGTTTGGTTTTGGCATATACTAGTGTTACATTACTATACAGTATTTTTTATAATATCTACCTAGATTTATTATGAATTAAGCCACTGATAACGGAAAGTGTGATTGATAAATAGATCAGGTATTGTGATAGGTGTACTTTCTTCCCAAGGACATTATGATACTCATGCATGCCTGACATTGACAAACCTATACTTGGTATCACTTTCGTGTGAAACATTACTTCGATATGTTTGACTCAATCACTCCTAAATTCGTTATCTATCCGAAACTACAAGCATTACTCATCATTTACATAAAACATATTGATAACTGGTTATGGAATGTGAACACTGGTTCATTTATATTTACTGAACCAAGCAAAAATATAGCATCGCCAGCGACATAATGATATATAAATATGGATTTGGCAAGACAATTACTGCAAAATTGATATATCGTACAGTTCTGTTCATAAAAATATGAAAAATTTCGACTTTCTGCACCGCTTCCACATTGGTACAACGACAAAGACACAGCCAGCCACAATGATACAAATTCCGGCCGACCAGAATGTCTTGTCATAGGTTCTGTAGACATCATAAAGCCACCCTGTGGATAGAAAACATTAAAGTACAGTAATATTACATACCGATTAACGTCGCTTTTACAGAAAAAGGAATAAATGTATTGCTCATCGCCCGAAGTTATAATATTGATCAGTTTGTTATTAACATACGCATGTAGTAATTGTAGTATTAAGAAATGACAGCAAATGCCTGCTACATTAATAATGATATTAAATGATAAACACTAATTGTTAAGGAGGCTCAATTAGTCTTAATTGATGACATAATAAAACATGAAATACAGTAACAAATTAATGAAAGGTTTACCTGCAAACGGTGGTCCCATCAGGTTTGCTGTGCCCTGCAGAAACATCATAATACCAAAGGCATCAGTGAGTTTGTCTATACCTAGTATGTCCACGATGATGACAGAGCACAGGGCCTCCGCTGCAGCAGACAATAGTCCGAACATACCAGCGACGATAGTCGACGGAACGAACGTCGTGAAAACTGGAACAATGGCCAAGGTAGCACCACAAAGAATCATTGATACACAATATAAATAAGATCTGTTCATCCACTGTCTATCGCCCAGATAGCCGTACAGTATGTTACCTATAGTATGTAGAATGCCTATGATGGCTACCATTAAAGAGGCATCCCTCTTGTTAATACCCATCTCTTTGGCTCTGTCCACTGTAAACACGTATGGGACGTCATACCAGAAATATAAAATGAAGTTGGAAAATGCAAAAATAAGAAAAGCTGGATTTCCTAGAACACTCAAATCGACGATCGACTTAGGACAAGCAATCTTTGACTTGGTTTGGTACTTAAGTTTGATGTTTTCCCGGACCTCGGGGCAACTCTTGGATGCACGTATCACTTGAGGTAAGGAAGCAATGCTTCCTCCTATCAATGATGGATTCTCCGGTAAGTTAACAACTTTTATTGATAGCTGACTTGTTCTGCATACATTATCGTCATGTGAAGACTCTCGTTCACATGAACAACTTGAGGCTGAATCTGATGTCCAATCACTACATTCGGGAATATCTCCCCTTGTTGCCCTTAAAACCTTAAATTCTGTTGGGGTACCACTGGAATACCGATCCAGTGAATTGTTTGTAATGAATGGCTCTTGACTACTTGGCAATGTCTTTTGGTCGGAATCTACGACACGAAGTGGTCTAAAGAGTGCCCCACAAACAACAATGTTTCCCGCTAGTCCCCCCATTATAAGAACCGCTCCTCTCCATCCATACTCTGAGATCAAACGCTCCAACATCGGTGCAAATAGCAACGTACCTATGCCAGCACCACACTCGGACAGGCCGGTCACCAGAGCACGTTTGTTTTCAAAGTACTCTGCCACGACGACAATAGAGTTGAGGTACGGAAGCGATATACCGAGGCCTGCAATAGCTCCATATGTAATGCATAGAGATTCTATTGAATTCACGAAACAACTACAAACAAAACCGGCTGTAGTTATTACACCTCCGAGTATAGTGGCTTTTCTATAGCCAATTCTGTTCGTTACAAAACTGGCTAAAGGTCCACAGAGTAGAGGAACTGCACAAAAGACTGAACCGATCCATGCTGTCTTACTTCTGCTTTCTTCGAAGTACTCAATAAGGTTCGTAAACAGTACTCCAAACGAGTAAGAGCAACCGTCGGTAATCACATTGATAATAAAAGCACCAAGCACAACAAACCAGCCCCATCCTCCGTCAGGTGGCTTAATGATATCGTCATTCTCGGTTTCTTCTGAATTCTCGTTCTTATATCCCATCCTTAAACTTCGGCTGCGAGTCGGATTGAACCATCATTGTAAAGGGCGTTCATCGTTTAGAGTGTTTGCCTTCTGAAATATTTAAAATGTGTTGCTTAATCACATTGTAAATAACTATAGTCTCAGTGTGCATCCTTATATAATACACATAATAATAATAATAAGATTGATCCCGCGATCCTGTACTAGGGAAAGCTCGAGATAAAAAACATTCTACCAAAACTGACAAGCATGTAGATCAGTGAGATACCACAATCTGCAATCTTATCTCGTCCATTAACTAGCTGTCTACACAATTTCTGACAATTTTTACAGCTAGTTTGTTACTCGTCCTCGAAGGATATAACATTACCCTTTACATTACCATTACAGGCTAATGCTAAATTTCGTGACGAAAAGCCACACACAAAAGGGATCCACAGCCAATTATAATATTACTATTGTACAAAGTTTTTTGCTGAACCAAAGACTGCGAACTGCAGTTAAATGCTTGTTTCGTTATTGAAATCCAGTGCTTCGATAGGTGTCTTGTTTGAAATAAAGCAAATTACACCCGTTCAAAATAGAAAAAAAATGAACCTTACCTGTACACAGTTTAGCCATGTTTAGTGCTAACGTCATGTAATTACTATGTCATCCTATATTCATATTACGATAACTGCCGTAGAGGTTAATTGTGTAGCGTAGATTTCGTCTCCCGATAGATCTACACTGGTGTAAGTCTAGATCGTGTATCGTACATACATTATAAAACCAATTCAGGTAGTTCCGTATACTTGGCGGTGTGTAAAAGCTGTATGTTATTAATGTATCATAATACATTTGATTGTCTATTACTAATTTACCACAAATCAATGATGTATTGAATATTTTAGATTGTTTTAAATTAATGATGTATTGGTAAAGAATATTTTAGATCGTTTTAAAGAGGATGACTTTAAATCGAGATCCAAATTAAGTCGGTTAATTCAAGTGTAAATTGTTTTCCCCCGTCAACGTATTGTGTAGAAATGATCGTGATATTGCTCGACCGTACGTTGTCAGTGTATGCACCAATCACGTCGCTTCTTTATATACAACATCCATTGATTACCGCGCCCGATCAATCGTACTATCACTTTTCATTGTTATGTAGATTACAGACGAGTCCATATTTACATGGGGAGCATATATAAAGCATTCGCTCAGTGCGACGAACTTTGAAAGCTCAGGAATGAATGTAATCGCCCAACTTGGCAACCCAGATAAAGTCATACTGGAAAAAGGTTTGTAAACCTGATGATACATCATTTTATTTTTGTCTAAGAGGTATTCATCTCCTGGACCTGCTCTACCTCAGCCTGGAAATCATACTTATTTTCATTTGTAGATAGAAACATGAACAGAATACTAAATACATCTTAGAGCTACCAATATGATGCCAAATATGTCCTAAATCATAAATAACTGTGTCAAATAACCTGCGATAGGCAAAACTGGTTTCTAGAACCTCCAATATGACATCGATGTACTGGCGAAAATCCAACATGATACAACTTATGGCGCCAAAATAATAGATGACACGTGTTCATCCTATGGCGCCAAAATAACAGATGACACGTGTTTATCCTATGGCGCCAAAATAACAGACGACACGTGTGTATCATATGACGCCGACATAACAGACGACACGTGTATACCCTATGAGGCCGACATAACAGACGACACGTGTATATCTTGTGACGCCAACATAACTGGCGACACGTGTTTATCCGGCGACACAAATGTGACCGATGTCGTGTGCATATCCCAGGTAGCACGACATCATATATATTACTGCTAAGTCTCTGTACATCTCTGGCTACATTACACGTTTATGTCGGCAGTATTCATGAAGAGGAAGTTCTTTAGTAAAACTATTATCTAAAAATAGATTATGATGACATGTCCGTGTAGCTGGGCACATGGATATTTTACAGAAAACTTATCTATATTTGGTAGTAGTGAGGTTCTCTTACAGAACAATGCTTTCCTGAAGTCACAATATCCCGAAATGAACTCCCATATACTCACCTTATTGTGCACAACACGTTGTAGTAAGTTCCCTCCACATGATATGATAAGTAATGGCGACGATTTTATCTATGTGTCCTCATGTTATCGTGGTGACCTTCAAAGTAAACATAACACACTCAAAATACTGTCTCGGACGAAAGTTCGTGTGGCAACACGGTTCTTTATACAAAACAATACAATGTTACATGCACAGTAGTCATTTTATCACGTTTTCTATTTCATGTTTCCAGGTTTTAACCGTTCTTGTTATAATTGTTTTGGGCCTTTCCCAACACAAAATATCATAGCGAAGAAATCCATGTCCAGCAGATCTGTTGATGATAATAAGGTATCCAGGTATAAAAAGTCAAGGTGTATAACAGAAGTAAAGCAAGCTTACAAAGGAATAACAAGGACGTCATTAAGGGATTCGTACAAATATTCGCGAGATCAGAATTCGCGATTGGTTCTCCTCGTGTATTAACGCGAAAAAAATACAACGCGAAATCCGAGTAACTTACAGTATATTTGATAGACAGTAGCACTTCACCAAGAAAACTTACCTGGACACAATACGTTGTATGATAATTATGAGAACATGTGAGAGTTAATACGTTCCATTTGGCAAAGCATGGTCTAACTTTTATAACATTTAGCAATGATGAAAGTCGATGTCACGAGACAGGTATATTAAGTTCTTAGAGACGGATGTAGTTGTTCTTACCCTGTCAAACACTCTACTGAAGAAATAACATGCCGTATTTGTATCAGACTTTCCAATGTCAATAAATAATATCGGAGGAAATTTTCTAACCACCAGCTAATGTGTATTTGACTACACCTACACTCTGTTGATACAAAGGTTTGTTGTGCGAGTTTTACAGTGATAATTGACGTGTCCTGAAGTGCAAAGACCACTTTACATCGTACGTTTTATCATGTGAGAAGGACCTTGACAGGATGACTTCTTGATGTGCAAAAGAAAACCCAATAACTTGCTAGACTAAAGGTTAATAAATAAAACTTGAACTAGCATTCTAAAATCAGTTTCTGTATTCGTCTGTGGTGTGAATCTAAATTGGTACAGTACCGGCACAGGATAATTGATGTGAAACCTGGTTATCCTACGGTAACCTGTTTAAACAGGCTGTAAATAGATTATTCTAAACGCAAAATATAACAATATATATATGTTGTCTACGACTTGTATTCACTTTAAGCCATACCAGTAAACCTGTTTACTAACAAAACATTAGGGTTTTAATTACAATAATTTTGATATTTTTTTTTTAAAATAAGGGTCAGGTTTTATCATCTTGACCTTTGCTTTCATCTATATATAGCTACACTTAAAATACTCGACCTCTGTACGCAAATGAAAAGAAACACATCACTTTCGACGTCCATGTGTGTTTTAATTAGTAGAACTATTTACATGTAAATGTGTTAAAACTTTAAGAAAATTTGGTAGATATTTATTGTATGCAACAGCTAAAAGAAAAAACCTTCCTGTGTAGTAGTAATACATTGTATATTAATTTCATTTGTTATTATATGAGTATGAATTCTACTCTATTACCATAGCTTATTACTTGAGTTTTGATTGAAAGTCAACTTTCATTGTTAACACTGTGTGACGTCATAACTTTCCCGTATCATCATTATTATTACGTCACAAACCAAAGGATATAATTATGAATATTGATTCTCGTGACATTGTTATATGTTAATTCCTGGAACTGTTTGGTGTCAATATATGTTATATTCACCATCTCTATGGAATTGCCCTCCGCCATCTTGAACATTTAATATGATATAACTAATTGTGTATCATTGCTACCTATATGCTGTTATTGCATTTGGAAATGAAAAAACAAAACAAACAAACTTAAACAAATTACAGAACATAAAATTTGAATGAAATACTGGAGATAACAAAGTTAAACTGCTGATGATTGTATCACTACTGAATACTGGTGATAACACAGAGATAAACCACTAATGATTATATCACTACTGAATACTGGTGATAACACAGAGATAAACCACTAATGATTATATCACTACTGAATACTGGTGATAACACAGAGATAAACCACTAATGATTATATCACTCTGGTGATAACACAGAGATAAACCACTAATGATTATATCACTACTGAATACTGGTGATAACACAGAGATACACCACTAATGATTATATCACTCTGGTGATAACACAGAGATAAACCACTAATGATTATATCACTCTGGTGATAACACAGAGATAAACCACTAATGATTATATCACTCTGGTGATAACACAGAGATAAACCACTAATGATTATATCACTCTGGTGATAACACAGAGATAAACCACTAATGATTATATCACTCTGGTGATAACACAGAGATAAACCACTAATGATTATATCACTACTGAATACTGGTGATAACACAGAGATAAACCACTAATGATTATATCACTCTGGTGATAACACAGAGATAAACCACTAATGATTATATCACTCTGGTGATAACACAGAGATACACCACTAATGATTATATCACTCTGGTGATAACACAGAGATAAACCACTAATGATTATATCACTCTGGTGATAACACAAAGATAAACCAATAATGATTATATTGGTGATAACACAGAGATAAACCACTAATGATTATATCACTCTGGTGATAACACAGAGATAAACCACTAATGATTATATCACTCTGGTGATAACACAGAGATACACCACTAATGATTATATCACTCTGGTGATAACACAGAGATAAACCACTAATGATTATATCACTCTGGTGATAACACAAAGATAAACCAATAATGATTATATTGGTGATAACACAGAGATAAACCACTAATGATTATATCACTCTGGTGATAACACAGAGATAAACCACTAATGATTATATCACTGAGATGTTACGACTCCTATTTTTGTGTAGTATTTCCGTCCGCTAAGTTGGTAATCCGTGATGGTTTCTTTTGGTTTACTTT